GTATTCAGTTGGGAGCTGTAGTCGGACAAATGAGTGATTAGAGGCTGCTGTGTGTGTGTCTGTTTAGTAGCTCCCGAGTTAAATCTATAGTTTTGTCATGTTTAATTTATTGTGTGTGAACATCTTTATTATCATTACAATTAAAACATATGACATGAAGTAATGTGTGTAGAATGTGATGGAAATAATATACCAAAAACTGTTCTTACAGTTTACTGTTGACAAGAAGTCTTACGTTGACTATGTAAGTAACTGACCAATGTATTCTTTGGATTTAAATGGACCCTTCCAAAGTTGTATAAAAAACAAAAAACATCTAACTTTGTATTCATTACTGTTGTCTGCCCCTCCACTGCCCGTTGCTTCTGAGATGAGTCATTCAGAATAAACAGCTTCCTTGTAGTATGTCTGGTTTATTCACTTTCTAGAGCTGCTTCTACTGACGCTGCTCATGTGTCTCTGCAACAAGCTAAGTTCACAAAATGTTCTGCTCTTGGTTGCAAGAGTAAACACAAGAGTCTTCATGCAGTCCCAGCATCAGAGGAACTGAAGATCCAGTGGATTACTTTCATTTTTGATGGCAATACCCCCACAGCTATGAAGTTTTTTTTGTGTTAGCATTTTGTGCCGTTTATGTGGCTAACATTACCTTTAGCTTTAATCATATGTCCACAGATCAGAGCTCCGTGGAGACTGTAAAACTAAGAGACATTCAAGAGGAGGTGGAAACTTTAGGAGGGATTTAAAACCATATTGCCTGTTGTGATACAGTGTAACCAAAACACATCTGTTTACTTCTGTCCTGCTCTCTGTGCTTGTATACCCTGCATTTTAATCCAACCAAATTCTCAATAAAGCTGGTTTCATTGACATATTTTTTTAATTTCTGCCAAATGATGGAACAATTATGAAATACTGACTGAAATCCATTTCCAAGCTGCTGCTCTGCACTGCCAAACTACTTTATTTGTAACCACAGTGTTTTCTGACAAACTCACCATATACATGAATTAAAAACAGCAGCTGTGCTGTGGATTCTGCCATATTTCCATGTAAAATGATTGCTCAGGAAAAAGTTAAAAGTGATAGGAAGTCCTGGTCTCAGTGTCTCACACTCATTCACAGTCAGCTGTACAGTCAACTGTTTTGATCTGCGCTGTCAAATACAGAAGCAGAGAGAGTCTTCTTTCTGCATTTAAAGCTTCAGATAGTGAAACAGTTCATTTTGAACAGGCCTTAAACTAGGAATTATAGTCACAGTACAATGAACAAGCTTTACTGTATTTTGAGCTGTAAAAAAAAGGCACAGTCTGACTACACAAGATTTTCATTGATTTGCTGTAATAGGGCACAGTATTGGACCTTTAACAGTATTATACTGCCACGGATGCTCACTGTACATATATCTGGATAGCAACAATTAATAGCTGTCCAGCTAGCTAGCTACATGACGACTTTTTTCCCCATGAATTACTTGTAATCTTAGCTTGCTCTGACACTAGCATTAACTTTTTAAGTTAGCAATCAAAACATAACATTACCTTATTGAAAAAAACAGTTGGTTTAACAACATCAGTTACGACAGTTTACTGCAGAAGAACTCAAAAATAAGTCACATGTTTTGTGTTCTTGTGCACAATTCCTGATCAGAGGTCTGCAGGTGATGCTGGAACTGTTTGTTCAGAGCAGCTGTCAGTCATGATAATATACACCTTTTTCACAGAATCAATAAGAGTTGCATTATGGGAAATGTAGGATTCAGGGGTTTCTGAGCTTGACCTATTATGGATAAAAGGTCAGAATGTTGATTTCTTTCGCATCAAATGAGACAGCCCTTTTTAAAAAAAAAAAAAATCTGTCACTTAGGTGTTAGCGATGCTTTTGGTTTGGTACTGACTTCCTACAAACAGTGGCCATAAAACACATCAGCTGATGTGCTTTGGAGTATGTGGATATTATTACCTTTGGAAGGAGGTAGGCCAGCTGTTTTCCCATTTCCACTCTTTATGCTACTGGCTTTAGCTGTATATTTAATATATAAAATGAGTGGAATCAATCTTATAATGTCTAAACTCTTAGTGTAAAAAATAAACCCATGCATTTCCAATGATGCTAAATTATTCCTTGAACAAAAGCCAGAGTTACAAAATGGGGGTGAGTAATTTAAAAGAAGTGGGCATTTACAATAGCAGGAAGGAACTATGACAGGTAAGGTGTCAAATTGCATTATGGGGAATGTAGGACAAAGTGATTTTAGAGTCCAACTCAAACTAGAGACTAAAAGTCAGGACAGATCAGCCTGTGTTCTTTTGATGTTGACCTTGTCTCTTAACAAATAGGTGAAAATGCTAATACTAAATCACTGCAACACATTTAAAGACAAAATCTGGATAAATGAGCAAAGAAATAAAAAAAAAAACATGCAAATGGTTCCATTCTTGGCACAAGGGGTAACTGAATGGTTTGATGAGTATGGAAAATGTGTGAGTGATGGGCTATGGCCTTCACAGGCACCAAATCTTTACTCATTGAACATCTTTAGGAGATTCTGGGCCAGCGTGAAATTATCAAAACCCCACCTGAGAGAATATTGACAACTTCGGTAGAGATTGTTGAAAGCAGCATTGAAACTGTTCTGACAGCCCCCACTGTACAGTGATTTTTTTATTTTATCGCCTATCTGCACACTGGAGGATTACATAGGTGTGCCACAGGTAGAAAAGGTAAAAGCTTTGAAAAGAAAGTCCAGAAATAATTATATTACAGCCAACAACAGAAAACAGGCCACAATTTTACTGGAGGTAACTTTTCTTAAAAGTCTGGCCAAAGAGCTCCACTAACTGTCCATAAACTGGCTGCTGTGCGTTGTTCCAGCTTGCCTCACCCCTGCAATGCGTCCACGTTGAACAGAAGCAGAAACCTAAATACAGTGCGCCACTGTGCCATCCCATCATGTGAGGAGATTGCTATGGTTACAGTGGATGGACCGGATGGCAGGTTAAATATGTGCGGTCCAACCCCAACGCACATACCGCACACACACCTCCTCCTGCTCTAACCCTATCCTCCCCCACTACTGTGATTGGCCTGGTTTAAACTGCTGGATGCATCCTAAAGAGGAGGGAAGTCCCAGCGGGCCTGCAGATAATGAATGCCCTCTATCTATCCTGGAGAGTGAGAGCCACAGAGAAAGACAGGCAGAAAGAGAGAGGCTATACAGTACTCTCTCACACAATGTGGCACTATGGAACGACACCAGCCTTCCCCCCCTCTTCGTGGCCGCTCTCTTCCCCTTCCCCTCCCATCGCCTCCCTCTCTATTTCCTGCTTACCCACACACATTCACATACATATGGGACTGAACTCACTGACCGTCTGCTGCACTGGCCCTGACATCCATCCTCCATATATCCAGACTGTGACCTTCACATGGCTCAAAGTCCGCTCAGCACCTCCACCGGGCATGCAGCGGGGGAACGGGACGCGGGGGAAATCGGGCACGGCAGGTGTCATCTCCACTCGTGATCGATTGATATTAAAACGATACAGCAATCATAAACGGTAAGAAAGGAAGGAGATTGGTAGTAGCGGTCTGGCCGGTCTGGCAGTGACAGGGATAATGGTTGAATGGCCTCAACTCTGTCCAAAAGATACAAAAATGCACAAAAAAAGAGAAAATTATATATATATATATATATATCTTGAAGTAAAGGACAGAAGTGAAAACGTAGATGAAGATTTCTGTTACTGTAGCATTCATTAGTGATGCTGACTTTGCACACATTTTACAGCTTTGAGAAAAGCAACTAAGACAAAACAAGGCATGTTGAGGCATGCAGTCACAGATTAACTGAAACATTTAAATTTTGTATAAATCAGAAATTATCCCCCTATAGTACTCTACTCCCTACTCCTGGGACAGTTTGCTGGCTAACAAAGCTAGCTACACGCTGGTTGTGTTTGCATGTGTGAGGATGTGTGTTGAGGTTTGCACACATCATTCTTAAAAATCATTAGATGACAAAAAATACCAATTCGCTTTGAGAACACATGGACGAGAAGCTACAAGAAATGGAAGAAAGAAAGACTAAGGCATATAGAGAATTTTTGATCTAAGTATGAAGCTTTGACTAAGATTATTTCTGGGATATCATGGTAATGAATAAAACAATTTTCTAGGACTGGTCCGAATAGCAATTTCTGTTCTCCGGATATCCGGCCCCAATTAATGGCAAATATCCCGAATATTTGGGGGTGCCACACAGTGGTGGCGGGTGGGACAGGGGGTGGGGGGCATGGTGCACGGCGTAGGATCCGATGGGTTGGAAGACCCCATTTAGCTACTAAGACTATTCTCATAGATGAATAGTAGCAACTGGACTTGCTTGAGTTTGTTGAAGACGTTTCACCTCTCATCCAAGAGGCTTCATCAGTTCTGACTAACTAGTTGGGAGATCCAGAACAACTATTCGGAGATCAAAATTGGTATCCCGATTCCAGCACAGCGAACGAATATTCGGCTATTTGGGTCCAGTCCTACTATTTTTCCTCATAATTACATACATTATCAAAGTGTTGTTACCTGCCACCACTTACCCAGAACTGAATGGCAGAGGCAGTAGCCTATATGTGTCCCAAAACCCTAGCCACTTCCTCCAGGTCCAGAATCCGTACATGTTACCAGGCAGGAAGGGATCATTAACTCTTCCAGGGTAATCTGGGTCTGTAACCAGATCTCCTCCCAGTTGGACGCCCACGAAATACCTCCCTTGGGAGATGTCCAGGTGGCAACAAGCTGTTCTAAACACCTACAATGTTACAGAGTAACTGATGCCACCAACGTGTTACATAATGTCCCTGCTGCTCCTTCATGTTGAGGTTGTTTCCTGCCTTCCTTTGGAGGTTTTCCAGGCGCGCTCACCTTGGAGGAGACCTCAGGGTAGACCCAGAACTCGCTGGAAAGATTACGCATCTCATCTGGCCTGGGAGTTCACACCTTGGGAAACCCCAGGTTGAGCTAGAAAACGTTGCTGGGGAGGAGGATGACTGGAATGCCCCGCTCAGCCTACTGCCAAACCCCAGGTATGTGGAAGAAAATGGATGGACTGATCACTGCATGCACTATGCCATGGTGGCAGGACATAAAAACGTTTGCTACTAATACTGACGAATAGTAGGTTGCTGGCCAGCTAACTTGGTTAGATCGCTATTGAGTTAGTCTCACTTAGGCAGTCAGTTCTGCAGTACACGATGGTCTGGCTGCATATTTTTTCCTTACTGCACATTCTAAAACCTCAGCCAAACTCAAAATTCTCAGTCTTGTAGGTTGCTAGCTCAGAGGCTGTCGTTGCTTCCCGTAGCAAAAGTTGGCTTTGAAATGGGTAACATGTTGCCATGGTGACGGTGGCGCGCATAGACACAGCGGCCCCTTCAGGAGACAACGAAAGTGAATGTTTTGAGTGTCTTGTCTATCCCAGACATTCATTCCACAAAACTTGCAGCCGGGAGACTTTGCTGGGCGTCAGGACAGTGAACGGCGCTGGAATTGCAGCAATCGGTTGTGATTTGGACATACTACACCAACACAGAGTCCAATCGGAGACTACACCGGCAGTTGCCCGAGAGAGAAGGAAGTGCAAACAGTACGAACGAAAACAAAGGAGGAGGAAGAGAGCCAGGATTCATGCTACAAGCTAACCCCTCCAGACCAGCATGACCATCGCTCCTACTCTCCAATGTCTGCCCCCTCGACAACAAGCTGGACGAGTTTTGTTTGCTGAGAGAAACCCACAGAGAGTAGAGAGACTGTTGTGTTTGCTTCAACAGAAACATGGCTCCATGACAACACCCCAGACGGACATAGAGCTGGAAGGGACGACATTATTCCGGGCGGACAGACAGACAGCTAGCTCTGGGCAGCACCTGCGGCTTCACCATCGTCACACCATCGTCTGTGTCTTTGTGTCGCTGAAGACCTACCAGGACCTGAAGAGGTTTACCATGTTCAAGAACGGCGGTGCGCATGGATGCAGCGGCCCCTTCAGGAGGCAGCAACAGTGAATGTTTAGTGTCTTATCCAAGACGTGCATTTCGCAAAACTTGCTGGTTGAATAGTCCTGAAGAAACGCTCTCTCATCTTGCCTGTACCACTGTGTATGTACAGCAAAATAACAATAAACTTGATTAGATTTTGATTTGATTTGATGTAGATAGTGCAAGAAGAGGGCAAAGTCCACTGAAATGGCAGGCTTTGACACGCAGTCTACATGTTATCAATCAGACTGTTATGCAGTTAGCATCATTGTTTCAGACTATTTTTGATTGCAAGTGTGTACATTTATTTTTGAAAGCTTTAGGAGGCTTATATTGCTTGATCACTTATATCTAAATTATGCTGGAATAACATTACGGCAACAATCATGAGAAGTGTGAACATACTTTTTTTTTAAAACAACCACACACACACACACACACACACACACACAAAGACAGATCACACAACACAACCTTGCCCACTGAGTCCAATGTGCTTTTTTTGTGCCTTGTAGAGATTTGCATCTCCAAACAAAATGCCTCCCCGCAGCGACACTGATTCTCTTACAGGTGAGGAGAAAAGAAATTGTCACAAAGGGGGGAGAATTTCACAGGCTGTTACTGGTGCTGCCTCAAGATGTGTTTAATGTTGCCAGGAGCACAGTCTGATACTTAACTAAATCTGCTGAAACTGGATATCAAGACAGCTGGCAGTATAGTGGACGCAAACACACACACACACACACACACACACACACACACACACACACACACACACACACACACAGTCTCATGCACATCACATCTCACACACTCGCTTCACTGCATGTCTTTCCTTCAGGTGAGGTTCATTCATAAATACAGAGCTCTTTACTCATCAGTACTGCAGGCAAACTCAAAGAGGTCCCCATCCAGTTACTGGAACCACAAACATGATGTTAAAGGGACTTTCTAGGTTTTGAGATGTAATCATTGTCCAGTATCTTGAACAATTCCTTTAAGTGTACTGAATATAGAGCAGTGTACATTGACCTGAAGGCCTTAAAACAGAAAAATACTGGAGCACATCATTTTGAAACTTATTTCATGTTTTCACTTCATCCTCCAGCTACTTTCTTCCACTCTTGGGCCGACAGCAGGCTAAGCAGGGCATTCCAGATGTCCGCCTTCATCATTTATTCTCACTTCATCATGTGCTTAAAATAAATAAATAAGCATATGTAAGCAATATGCGATTTCGTTTTCTTTCTCGCTAATCTCATCTATAATGCACACCAGCACAAGAGTCCTGTAACTGTAAGGAAAGCAAAACACATTCAAATTCATAGAAACACAGCAAAAAATGGAAATTCAGCAGCAGAGATGACCAACATTCCAGCTTGCAAAAAAAAAAAAGAAAGGCAAACCATGCTCCAGGGAAAATCTCACAGCTCCACTTCAGCCTCTGCTCACAAGGCCCTGGTGCACAACCTTCTTCCAGGTACAATTCTGAATCATCTCTTTTACAAACCATCTATTAATGACCAGCGAGCAACATCACAGGAATAACTGGTTTACTTTCATCCACTTTACTCAGTAAAGTAGTTTTAAAGGGAGAGTCTGTGGAGAAAGCATGTTTAGATAGTTGCAAGTGCCACATTCACCCCCACCTTACCTTTTAATCCTTTTCTCTGAGTCAAGTGCACAGGGTGAACATAAATGGGACATGCAGGAACCTTGTGGCTCAGTCTAAGTTTAACTTCTACCGAGGCAGGACTGTGTATGAACATCATGTTTTCCTTCACACACAGACTTGACATCTAGTAGAGGCGATATGAACTAAATATGACAAAAACTGCACTTGAATAGCGTTGGAGACTCTACCTTTAAATGAGTAGATCTTTCATTTTGAGTTACCATTTTTAATTTCTGAGCCACAAAAACAGGCACAACTGAAACAACACTGGTTATCATTATTATTATCATTTTAAAAGCGTCATATAAAAACAATAAATAGTTGATACACTGTAAGCCATGTATTTGTGGGCATTTATTACTGTATTATTCTAATTGATTTTAATTAAATGTTGCGATATACCTGTATAACGGTCATATTGAGAAAAAAATGAATATTAATATCATAATGCACATAATAAAAATTATGTTTTTTTTAAACAGTTTTTAAATGTACTTTTGAGCCATTTACTGTTATTTTCAAAATTTGTTTTGTTAAATTGCAAATATTTACTAGCAAAAGAAAAGAAAAGGTATTGATTTAAAAAAAAAAAAAAAAAAGCCTGAACTATAAAATCTATATTTTTACAAATGGTAATGTATTCTTTTACAAAGTGTGAACATAAAATTACACTGCTTTATTCTATTGAAAACAGTTAAAAATAGAATTATTTTGCAGATATTTGCAGAAATATTATTCCACCTTTTTTAAACTTTATTTTTTTATTCTTTATACAGACTGTCTAGTGACACTCCAAAAGAAAAACAACACACAGTATAGTTTTTAGTGGTGAAAATCTGATATTGTCACAGCTGTGTATGAAAAATATCAATAAGAGCCATAAACAACAGTGCCCTGTATGATCATTGTAAAATGAATAGAAATAAAGTAAATTAGGACTCACTTACATTGTCAGGGCAACATTTCATTCACTTATATACAACTGTACATACTTATTCTAATGAGTACATGTTAACATAACTCCTGAAGATCTTGGCTATGTTTTTATATTAATGACTGAAAAAACAACCCCTAGGTTATGGCTCCACAGCTGTAAACCAAAATAAAAAACACTGGGCTCTGTGGATAAGAGAGAGTAGGAAGAATTTTGAAAGAACCTCCTAAGAGGCAGAGTAAATAACAGCATCATAACAGTGAGTCAATAAGCACTGATGTCTCAACACCACCAAAGTTGATGCACCAGGAATGAAACACAACAACACTTAATCCATTTTAAATATAATAGTACCAGGGAGCTGCAGGGTGGCGCAGTTGGTAACACTGTTGCCTCGCAGCAACAAGGTTGCCGGTTCGCGTCCCAGTGGGGGCACCGGAATCTTTCTGCATGGAGGTTGCATGTTCTCCCCGTGCAGCGTGGGTTCTCTCCGGGTTCTCCGGCTTCCTCCCACATGTTGAGGTTAATTGGTGATTCTAAATTGTCCGTAGGTGTGAATGTGAGTGTGCTTGGTTGTCTGTCTCTAAGTGTGGCCCTGCGATAGACTGGTGACCTGTCCAGGGTGTCCCCTGCCTTCGCCCTAAGTCAGCTGGGATAGGCTGCAGCCCCCCACGACCCAAGTAAGGATTAAGCGGTGTATAGATAATGGATGGATGGATAGTACCAGGGAGCTTATGTCCTGAATGAATGATGCTGGATGGAAAGAGTTAATCAGTGCTCCAGGTTTGTGCTCATAGATAAAGTGATTGCGTGTTATGCACTGATGATTCCATAGTGTCCCTGAATGCCTCATGTGCAAACAGAGACAGAGCTTCTCTGTCACTTCCTGTGTACATGCGATGTATACCTCCCTCCCTGATCATTTTCAAACATTCTCTTTTATCTCAATCTTCATTTAAACTGAAACATTTTTAATCACCATGGGCTTATTTATTACTGCAGTATAAAGTTAGTTATTTGTTACCGGCTCCTTGTAAAGAATTTTTAAATTATATTTGCAAAATTAAGGGCTCTTTTTGGGAAATATTACAATTTTATGCTTTGGTTAAATTTCCTGAATGAGCAGCATGTCACATACGAGTAGTTCAATGACTGTCAGAAAGTTGAACATCCAATTATTGTCTCTTTTTATAGCTTCTGCTGCCAAGAAATTTTATAATTTCAACTTTTTTCTTCTCTTTTTAGAAATTAAAACAGAATTAATAAATACATTTTTTAAAAAAACACTTGGAGCGAATGCCAGCTGTTCTGCCTCTGGTGACAAGCTGGTACAAACATTGGTTTTGACGGTAAATCAACTTTAACGATGACATGCAAGTTCTTTGAGGAAAAGAGATACGGCTGGCCTTTACTTTCCCTCTGCATGGCAGAGCAGGAAAA